TATATATATATATATATCAGCTACTTTAATGTAATAGTTGCTGCTACCTTATTACTTGCAACGAGTACAAACTACGCAGCAAACTGATTTTTAGTCGCGAGTGGATTTGGTCAGTAGTTTCCACAAGAATGTGCTTCAGATGTTAATTTCTCCTATGTGGTAATATTTACATTCTTGGAACTTCGAATCTAACTTCGAAGGGCTTCTTTGTATGAGACTGTACGAAACTGTGCAATAAATACTAATACTTAGCTGATATGCAAGACCATGTGATAATCGCTATAAATGAAATTCGCCAAGTATCCGATACTTTTTAGGGGAGTGAGAAATAATTTTAGTAGACGTTTTGAAGTCCGTCTTCTACCACGTGGTTCTAATTACAAACAGTTCTTTAGGGTACGTATGTGTGTATCTTAACAATGACCCGCCAGTAAGTAAGTAGTTTGTAGTTTAGCTTTACTTTAGGCGGTGGAAGGCCGAAATTTTTGGTTTACATTCCATTCATGTGTAGCCGTTTAATAATTATTACAATTTGTACTCAAATATTTAGTTGTACTTCACCTAGACCGCGAAAACAGATACATCTTTGTCGTCATACCGTTGCTGTTGTCAATGACTGGATCAGCGGATATGTAGTACATTTGGAATTGTATTATGACTAGGGCAAAGGCTTTTCGTCGGATTTGTTGACAAAGGCCACTGAACTGATTGACATTGCGAAAACAAGGACTACGTACTTAGATCAGCAGTGTAATGTGATGGTTGAACGATTTAACGTTACTCTGGAGATCGACCTAATAATCTTCAGCGAGCACCAAACTGACTGGGACCCGCATATACAGCTGTTCCTCTTGGCTTACGTATCTGTCGTCCATGATATAACTGGAAGAAAACCGGCCATCCTTTTATTCCGAAAAGAACTCAGGTTACCAGTGGACATGACGCTAAATTGCCCTTTAGATTTCCTAGTATCTACGGACGAATACGTGCGTAAACTTCAAGAACGACTAAAAGCCATCTATAATGTTAAGCTACAATTTGGAACTGACTGCATGAACAGCAGATACGATCAACGAGCCAATCCTGATAAGTTTAATGAGGGCAACAAAGGGTGACAATACAATCCATCAACACGGAAGGGACGTTATCTGAAACTACAACAAGCTTGGGATGGTCCATAAACTGTAACTCGATGCATCAACGGCGTTGTCTATCGATTTTAGAAGGAATCTCGGCCCAACGAGGAGGTTTCTCATCTTGACCGGCTTGCCCCTCATACAGCTTCAGGAAGGGGCAGTATCCCATGTAAGCAGAAACTTGAACTAATGAGCATTACTAAAACGAGAATAACGCCCTTACAACCGCAGTCTGATGGAACGGTAGAACAAACCTGGAGATTTATTTAAAAATCTTTCTCATTGAACTCTAAACTGCTTGGGACCAACGCATACCCCTATTCCTTTTAGCTTATAGATTCGCCATCCATAAGACAACTGGAAGAACACCGCCCAGCATTTTATTTAGCAGAGAACTCAGGCTGTCAACGGATGTGACGTTTCGACGTCTCGGAGACTGTCCACTATCTACAGATAATGCTGTGCGTATGAAGCTGTAATTTGAAAGTGACTGGATTTAATGTGAGCGATAAATTGTTACTACAAAATTTATCAGGACGAAAGGAACGTTGACCGATACTGCAAGCTTGAGATTTGTCCATACACCGTTACTCGACATATCAGTCACGTTGTCTATCGAATTCAGAATGGAGCTCGGACAAAAATGAAGATCGTCCACCTCAACCGGCTTACTACCTACAGGGACCACAATCAGTTTTAGGAGTGGTGCAGTGTGATGTGTAGGCAACCCAACACACTGTCGCGTATAGGCAACCGAGCAGATTTTCTAGATGTCATTTTACGGTCCTTCGTAGAAGAAGTTCAGCTGTTGTCGCGAAATCGCAACGAGTTAATTCGAGTTCCACCTACGAGGTGATAGAAAGCGAAATAAGAAGAGCAAGGTAGTAATAAAGGGTGTCATAATGGTGAAATAGTAATTAATTATTAATAATGCTTGTATTTAATAGTATTTGATTCTTAAAAATGTCCTAGTAAAAACGAAACTAGTCGAACAAATAGTGTATTATTTCTATCGTTAAAGTGAAGCATTGAAAAGTTATAGAAATAATAAAAAAAATAAGTAATAATAGTGCTATTGATTAAAGAATAAGAACTTAAACAAATCAGTGAATAGTGAAAATGGTATTTGATTGCAATACACTATACTAAGTATACCCTCTCCTTATGATTAGTCCTTCCCTTTATGGCGATTTTCATAAGTAATACCTTTTCATCATTTACTACTTTCGAAATGGTACTGAGTGATAATCATGTTAAAATATGTGTAAATAGAGAAAAACGTTGCGGCTTCAGTGTCAAGAAGTACGGTCCTCAGAACCGAACGGACCGATGGATGCCCGACTGCGGTAACGGAAAGAAACCCGATGGTAAGACACTAATTACCGGCAACGATCCCGCCGACACCTCAATCAAAATTAACAGCACGTTTGCTAAGGAATGGGTCCAGCATCTGATCAAAAAGTACGGCACCGCAGATCAGGGCGGAGTGCTTTTTTACCAGATGGACAACGAGTACGACCTGTGGCACACTACCCACCAGGACGTCCATCCACAGCCAGCCACAACTGATGAGATCATCAAACTCACTGAGGAGTACGCATTGGCCGTTAAAGAAGTGGATCCATCTGCATTGACTCTTGGACCAGTTGGATGGGGATTTGTGTCGATTTTACGTTCGGGTAAGTCAGGTGACCGCCCGCGCGGCCACACACACCCACTAACGCACACACACTCACGTATATCACTCACGAGCACGCACGCACGCACGCGCGCACACACACACACACACACACACACACATACACACACACACACACACACACCTATACAGGTCCACGTATTTTTGTGGCATCNACACACACACACACACACACACACACACACACACACACACACACACACACACACACACACACACACACACACACACACACACACACACACACACACACACACACGGATTTAATGGTATTACGGTTTTTAGCCCTGGATTGGACCAACAGGACTAGTAAAGACAGAGAAAGCCACGAAAACCTGGATTTCGGACCATACTATTTGAAGACAATGAAGCAATTGGAATTAAATCACTCGAAACGACTCCTTGATTACCTCGACCTCCATATATACCCACAAGCGGACAACGTGTTTGTTGACAGTGCAGACCCGGAGGTAATGGCAGTGAGACTCAGGTCAGTGCAAGTTTAAATATGCGCTTGCTTTTAAGTATTAGTTTAATAACTTGGCCAACCTGAAAAAATATTGAAATCTATAAATTAGTAAAAAAATATCAATTAGGTATTGAACAAAAAAGTTATATTGAAATGAAATTCCTATGATGGAAATCATCAATCATATTTAATAGACTACAGGCCCATACTAAAAATTTGGGGTGAAATTAGTCACCATAAATTGATATTAATTACTAAACACTAGAAAATTTCCATTTTTTTTCGAGCTTACAAATGCGTAATAATGGTTTTGTTAAAAATTTGACATTGCAAATCAAAGGAAACACAAACGCACATGCAATACTTACATATACAGTACAGCGAAAGCGCGATCTGCTGACAACTTGTCGGAATGGCAATTTTCAGATTATCGGTTCCTACTAACAGGCCTTCTTCTGAAGCCTGTTAAAATGATTCCTTTTGGATAAGTGATGCTATGACGCGTGATGCTGTGACGCGTGATGTTACATTTTTCAGTTTTATACGTAGTTAATTTCCTTCCTATCGTCGATAAAGAAGTATCACATCAAAAAGATAATGCAAAAGTTCCATTTTTTCCATTTATATGCACTGAACTTGCATATACAAGGATGGTTCAATAGCAATAAAAGGTAAAATCGATACGACGCACCGAACAAACAACTGTGTAAACACTAAAGAAACAGGGCGGTCATAAAGACAAACGAAGCAATGACTATGGCAAAAAACGTATGATTGAACTCCTAAATGCAGATAATTATTTTTTTTACATTTATTTAAACTATAATTTTTTTAAACAGCACATTCGTAAAAAATTATTTTATGTGCTTATATTAGATATAGTAGATTTGATGCCGTACACATTTAAATGATCTTGAAATATATATACTGAAACATAATTTGAGTGTAAGTTTTTACCCATAAATCAGTAAATATGTTCGGTGTTGCTGAAAAATCAACCTACGCTATAAGCACCATAAAAAATGCCAACGCCGTACAATATTAAATGACTAAAAATTATTGTGGAATCGACTAAAACCAAAAAATTACCCTGGTTTCCGGTACCGCTCTTTTTATAGGGCATGTTTAAAATGATTATTTTTCTTCGGCCCATATTATTTTAAAAATGCTGTACAAAAAAAATGATATTTACAATTTTATTTCGTTGCACTTAACATGGAGAATTTTAAGGAAAACTGTTATTTTGACGCACTCTTGTCATTTATTAGGTTGTAATTGATAAAGAGATTTTGATAAAATTTTCAGTAAATATAAACGAATATTCAATAAACATTTTTTTTTCCAAGACGTATAAAACATGCTTATGTTAATAAAAACATGCAAGTGAAACTTTTCGGATGGTAGGCATATAACTGTAAATTTTCGGAAAATTACTCGATTTAGAGTAATAAAATGATAATCGAGTTCTTAATCTTTTCTTAATGACTGGAAAATGGAGAAGATAAAGAGAATTAATAGTAGACAAAAAATTCAACTATAAATTGTAATTTCAATCTGTGTATGAGAGTACGAAATACATAATAAAAACAATCATTCAGAAGATAGACGCATGTTAAAAACTGAGTAACTAAAATTTATTTAAATCATTGAATTATTTTGAACTTCAATTATTCTATCACAGCCGTCTCTACTTAAAAGCCATGCTGAAGGTTTACTTGGCAACACTGTGGGAGTCCCAGGATTTCCCGGTTAATGAGAGTTACAACTAATACATTAGTTGTTGTGTTTTTTCGTTGTTCTATAATATTTTAATTTTAGCGGAAATATCGTGCAGTAAATGTGCAATAAGGATGATTATAGTGTGTTATAGTGATTAATACCTTTGGATACAGTTTTTAATTGCAGAAGGCAATATTAACTATTATGTGAAAGAAGTGAAAATGTTTTAGGTCAGATTGTGTGTTTTGGTTGTAAATTTTCTGGTTTATTTCTTAACAAAATGCCTCTCGTCGTTGTGTTCCCAGTTGCTATTCAAATTATAAATCATCTTTAAAATGTAAGTACAAGTATGTCTATATTTTTATTCCCAAAAAAATGATGAAATGCGAAAAAAATGCATAAGTACTATACCTCGCAAAGATTGGACTCCATGAAAATATTCTGCAGTTTACATACATCACTTTAACGAAAGTGACATTATAAAAACAGTAAAAGTATCCACTGCCGGTAATGTTTTGAGTGTTGAAGAGTCTCCCTTAAACATAAGTCAGTTTATTGAAATTTTAAATTCCGATTTTTTAATGAATTGTGATTTAGATGACTCCTTAAAAATTTCCATTTCAGGATATGCAGTTCATTCTGCTCGTAAAAAGATAACTTGCAACAATTGTGTTTCGCTCATAATAAACAATAAAGGCTCTTGCGTTGGAGATATTTATTTTGATTATTTACAAAGGGGAGGACTTTCTGTTCCTACTGATAATATTAGTATAGTTTTTTTTTTTCACATTTATGCCATTCTTGAAGAAATAAGTAATAACGAAAATCTGCAGACACAATGTTTACGGGCTGAACACCAAAAACCAATTTTAGGAAAATTAACTATTTTCAAAAATATTTAGTTTTGGAAAACATTATAAAGATATATTCTTCCAAATTTTATCTTCTTTTGCTAATGTTTTGCTTAATGATTACGTTAAAATTATAAATTATAGAAAGCAAGAGTCCCGCCACTCCAATTCAAATTCAGCTAACTGTAAGACAGCAAAAATCCGTAAATTAGAAATTGTAATTAGTTTTTTCTAATGGGATGGCAGGGCTATTGGTGAACCCCAAAAAAAGCTAACGCGCCTTGGCAATACTTCAATTGTGGTGTGGAAATTTGCTTTAATAAAATTACAATTATCGAGATGAAATTCATGTAGGTACCTAACAATGTTTACACCTAATCTTTTGTCTTTTCTATTTTGTTCTTAATACCTACATGTTGAAGTGTATTTTAAATAACGTCACATACTATCAGTGATGAACAAATGTTAGTTATTTAATAATTCAATTCATTTTTATCGTAATGGGTGTCTAAAAATCATGTGTAACGACGTGTAGTAATAACAACTAAGACTCGCAGAATAGGACTCTCACATCGAAGCAATGCGCTGTTGCCAAATTTCTCAGCATGGCTTGTATTAGAGACGGCTGTGATTCTATCAATCATTTCCTCTTCGCTTTGAGTTTCTGCCGAGCGCCTTTTACTTTTAACCTTACTGTAATGCGACATGCGATAGAAAACGAAAAAATTTGAAGCGATGTAATAAAAGCTTCACTTTAATAATTTACCAAAATATCCCCTTTCGTATGGTACTACTATCCTACATATAAAATATAGTGAGTAATTTCACCTGTTGCATTTTTAGCATGGGGTTGTAGTCTGTAATCTATTTACTATTTACCTTGTATGTCATATTTTCAACCAACATATGCTCAGATCAACTCAGGCCTTGTGGAACCCCGACTACATAGACGAGAGCTGGATCAAGAACATGGGCGAACCGAATAACCGGGTGCAACTAATTCCCAGGATGAAAAAGGCCATCGAAACTTACTATCCAGGTACCAAAATAGCCATCACCGAATACAACTGGGGCAATTTAAAGGTTATGAACGGCGCCCTCGCACAGGCTGACGTACTTGGTATTATGGGAAGAGAGGGCGTTGACGTGGCTCTTCTCTGGGGACCGAAAAATGCGACAGAGCCATGGGCGTATGCTTTCAGGTGAAGTATACCCTCTAAGGGTAAAAATTCTAAAATGTATAACCTGACAAATATGTATTGCAACTGTGTATCTGGAATCCATGGCTAAATTATACGACTGAATGTATGATATTTTGAAATCTAAGTTAAATCTTGAATTTGCTCTGATCTAAATGATTAACTAAGTTAGAAACATCATCATTTTTTCGTATTTTAAAATGTGAATTTCAAATCTCATCCATTAATTTAATTAATTAATATTTCACTATGTTAAACAGGATGTACCGCAACTACGACGGAAAGGGTTCTCAGTTCGGTTCTATTAGTGTTAGTGCAAAATCGAGTGACGAACAGACGCTTGCAATTTACGCTTCAATCCGACCGTCAGACAAAAAGTTGACTGTTATTGCCATCAACAAAGACCCAACCAACGAAATTGACACGAAGATCGAGATCAAGAACTTCGACATCTCGGACAGTACTAAAGCCTATACGTACAGTCAGAACAATCTAACCAAGATTGTGGAAAGTATTGCCACTGTGGTCAACAATGCCATTGAACACAAATTCCCCGCTTATTCGATCACATTATTCGAAGTGGCCGGTAAATAATTTTTCTTGTGTTTATAGAAAACATCAATAGCCGATGTTCGTATAATTGAGTATATCTATATAAGTAATGCATCAAATAAAGTTATAAAAATAATTTTCTCGTTAACTGTTATTTATACTTATAAACGGAAAAATGCTAACTTAACCTTCAAATTACTGAAGTGAAAGTTCTTTATTGATGGTAGAAAGGAAATTTACTAGGGTGAAAAACCAAAAAGTGTAACGTTAGTATGAGTCATAGCGTTCTAGCCACTCTGTCGTAGTAAGATGTGACAATCAAAGGTTGTGGTTCTGAGAAGAACAATTTTTTTAAAAATGGTGTTGGACACGTTTCTGCATCATTGATGATTGGCACAATATCACAGCTTCCGATGATTGACACTAATGCAGCATCCAAGGGTTGACACTATTTCAGCATCCAAATTATAGTGAGCCTGATGTTAGACTGATTTATTTGAATATTTACACGGTATTTATACAAAAGTAATATTACATGGGTTTATATGGCAAAGAACATTTCAGCAATTTACATTTGTATATGTAACTGCCTTTGACCTAGTTAGTCGCAGTGTGTCGCAACCTAACTAAGTCAGCACAAATGCAGACGCTTAATTGATACACAATATAAATGTTTCTTGCTATACCGAGTGTTTCCACAGGACCCATCTTCCAGTGAGGAACGATGTGGATCAGCTTGCTCGGATATAGCTTGGAAAATGTACTCGACGACCGAACTGGGTTGTAGTATGCGCTGCTCGATCGCCCATTTTCATCGTTGTGAGTATAGGTTGGGAATGCTGTTCTTCTTTCACGATATATGCTGGTTTAAGTCTTTGTAAAGATATCGATTTGCTGGCGTTAGGAAGTTGAACAATAAATGAATGTTCGCCTCGTTTGATTACTTTGTATGGCCCATGGTATGAGAATTGCAGTGTTTTTTTTTTGGGCGATCTCGTCGAATCAGAACATATTCGGCCGATCGTAGATCTCCAGATATGAAAGTTTTCTGTCCACCATGCCTGCTTCCAGCTACAGGTCGTAGAAGTCTGAAGTGATCGCGAAGCTGCTGTACATATGTCTGGGTGGTGGTGTGCGATTGTCGGGTGCCTGGTACCAGAAATTCGCCTGGTAGACGAATTGGTTTACCATATAATATTTCGGCTGCTGTAGTCTTGAGATCTTCCTTCCAGGCTGCACGAATTCCCAGAAGAACAGTGGGAAGAATCCTGGTCCAGTTGCCGTTCTGATGGCAAGTTATAGCGGCTTTTAACTGTCGGTGTAGTCTCTCAAGCATAACATTAGCTGCGGGGTGGTATGCCGTTGTGTGTATATGCTTTGAGTTTGTTAGATGCGAAAGCTCCTGGAAAAGTTGGGACTCAAACTGTCTACCTTGGTCCATGGTGATTCTTAGGGGTGTGCCATAACGACAGATCCAGCCTTCATAGTATGTTCGTGCGACTGTTGTGGCTTCTTGGTCTGTCATTGGAAAAGCTTCAGGCCAACGTGTGAATCGGTCTACACACGTGAGACAATAACGGTATCCTTTCGAGGGCGGCATCACAACTGGACGTGGTCGAACTTTTCTGATGGTAGTCCGAATTCGCCCAAGGGTGGAAAAACGTGACGGGTAATTTTTGCCTTTTGACAAGAGAGACATTTGGCGCAATCTTTATTAGCAGATGGCCAAATAAATCACTGGGTCACAAGTTTTATGGAAGCACGGATTCCAGGATGTGTCAGGGAATGTAACTGTTTGAATGCTGCGAAACGAAATGTTGAAGTTAAAAAAGGTCTTGCCGTACCAGTAGAGATGTCGCAGAAGATGACTTTATTTGAGCAGGGAATGTGAATGCAATTGAGATGTCACGATTGGTCTGAGTTAAGATAATGTTGTAGTTCCTTATCGGATTCCTGTGCAGTGGAAAGGGCTTCGTAGTCAATATGTGTTGATAACTCAGAAATCCGTGAGAGTGTGTCCGCGATGATGTTATCTTTCCCAGAAATATGCTGGATGTTCGTTGAGAACTGGCTCATAAAATTGAGGTGCCGTGACTGTCTGGGAGAGCATTTGTCAGGGTTCTAACGGAAGGCAAAGGTCAGGGGCTTGTGTAAATATAATGAAGTCACGGGCTTCGAGAAAATGGCGAAAATGCTTAATCGTGCGATAAATCGCAAGAAGTTCTCTGTCGAATGCGCTGTATTAGACTTCAGCGTTTGATAGTTTGGAAGAGAAAAATGCAAGGGGTTCCCAGGTTCCATTGTGGAATTGTTGTAACGCAGCGCCCAAGTGATGGGCGGATGCGTCACAAAAAATTGCTAAGGTAGCATCTGGTTGTGGATGGTGCAGGAAAGTAGTCTGCGCCAGTTGCCTCTTTCTTGAATTGAATGCCTCGTCGGCTGTGGGATTCCACTGTAGTGGTGCATTTCCTTTGATCTTCCCCAGTAGAAGTTCATTCAAAGCAGAACGAGTGCGGACAGCGTTAGACAGGAACTTTCTGTAGAAGTTGAGCATACCCAGGAAACGTCGCAATTGTTTTGCGGCAGTAGGTTTGGGGAAATTGAAGATTGGTGTTACCCTGTCGGGCAAAGGGCGTATTCCATTTGCCGAGACAGAATAACCTGGAAAAGAGACTTCTTGCTTACCAAAGTTGCATTTTCCTTGATTAAGCAATATTCCGTATGAATGTAGACGAGTAAATAACGTGCGTAAATGCTATTTGTGCTGTTCAGCATTTTCTGATGCGACCAGTATATGGTCAATGTAAGCAAAGCAGAAGTCAAGGCTGTGTAACACTTCTTCAATAAAACGTTGGAATGTTTGGCTGGCGTTACGTAAACCAAAATTCATGTGAGGAAACTCGAACAACCCAAAAAGTGTTGTAATAGCTGTTTTTAGGATGTCTTCCTCTGCGACTACAATTTGGTTATATGCTCGAAGTAGGTCGATCGTGGAGAAAATCTTCTTGTTTGCCAGTGCATGTGTGAAGTCGTGAATGTTGTGTACAGGATATCTGTCCGGGATTGTTCTCGCGTTGAGAGCACGGTAGTCTCCGCATGGGCGCCATTCATCGTTTTTTTTTGGGACCATGTGCAGTGGCGATGCCCAGGTGCTGGAGGAGGGACGTGCGATAACCAGTTGTACCAACGTTTCAAACTCTTGGCTGCAGAGAAACGGTCCGGGGCTAAACGTCGTGGTTTGCATGCTATCGGTGGACCGGGGGTAGTGTTGATGTAGTGCCTTGTTGCATGTTTCGAATGTGATGTGGCCGTTGGGTCGAGTTAATGCGGGAAAATGCTGAAGTATCTCGTGGTATGGTGAAGTGGTCGGTTTCGTTTCTGTAACGAAAGTGACGGAAAGTTGGCAGCAGTTGATCAATTGACCAGAAGTGGTGAGGTGTGTCAGTCGATCTAGCAGTCGTTGGTTGCTTAAATTTACCAGCAGTTGGTAGTGTGCAAGGAAGTCCGCACCGATAATTGGTTTGCTGACGTCGGCTATGATGAAACGCCATGGGAAACACCTTCGTAGGCCCAAATTGAGAGACAGAATAATAGTACTATAAGTCGGTGTGTTGGTGCCGTTTGCTGCTTGTAGCGTGAACGTGGATTTCTGACGTGGTCCAGGCATTAGTGACTTGGGATACACGCAGATGTCAGCACCGGTTTGGACCAGAAATTTTTGATTTGTGTGGACCTCACTTGTCGTTGCCATACGTGGTTTCCTGGTTGATTTCCTGTTGTCATCCGTCATGGTGAGATGTGCTAGTGTGCCTTGCCCTTGACCATTTGCCCTAATATTGAGGTTGGAACGCTGTCGGGGTAGAGAACTGCGTGAATTTGAACGGTGTTGGTTCTTCAATTTTCTTGCCATGTGTGGTCTTATGTGATGTAGATCCATCTGGAGGCCTGTACCTTATGGGTCAGTTGTTGGATGGTATCGTTCTGTGGAGTAGGTGTGGCCGTAGCTGCTACCATGAACTGTGTTTGAGTTGCTTCCATAATGTAATCGGCGACCTCTGCTGTTTCATCCAGATTCTTATAGCGCATTGTTGTGAATATGGCTTGAATATTAAGAGGAAGACAACTTGACCAAATGGTTCGCAGTAAATCGTCCGACATTGTGGTTTTGGCCAGACCGCGTAGATGGCGCAGAAATTGCGTGGGTTTCCTATCTACCAAATCTTCTGGCAGGAGAAGTTGTTTCACCCGTTTTTCTTGGGAGATGCCCAGCCGACGAATGAGTGCTGCCCTAATGATGGCATATTGTTCAGTCGCGGGGGGGGGGGGGGTTGACAATTATATCACGCACTTCCGCCGCATAGTGAGGGTCAAGGTTGTCTAGTACATACCCAAACTTTGTTGATTCGGACGTAATTCCGTAGGCCTCAAAACTGCGGTCGACCATACAAAACCAGAGTTCGGGGTCGGATGGCACGAAGGGTGGCAATTTGACGCCNCGAAGGCGTTAACAAAATGGAGGATAACAACAAAAAACACCCACATGACACAAGAGGGGGACGGGGCCGACCAATCAGAGGACAAAATCTAACGAGCGGAAGTGCCGTAAGAAAAGCATTGGGAGATAAGGAGATTTGCCCCTAGATATCCTACTAAGGCCTCCTCCATTTGTCTCTATTTTTTGCTTTTTCTATCCAGTTTTGTCCCGCTGTTCTCATAATTTCGTCGAGCCATCTCTCTATTGGTCTTCCTCTTCTTCTGTTACCTAATGGGCCTTTCCATGTTATTACCTTTTTTGTCCATCTTTCATCCTCCATACGAGCAACATGGCCGGCCCACTTCCATTTTAGCTTCTTGCAATGTTGTAAAGCATCGATAACTTTTGTCATGCTTCTGATATCAGTATTTGGTTTTTTATTTTCTAGTTTTAGTTTTAGAGTGCTCCGTTCCATGGCTCTCTGGGTTGTTGATATTTTGTTTCTTGTGAATCTGTTGAATATCCATGTTTGTGATGCATAAGAAAGAGTAGGTAGAATGAATTAATCTAGAATTTTTTTCTTCAGTCTCATTGGGATATTTGACTTGAGAGCTTCTTTGAGACTCGAGAATTTGTTCCAAGCTATGTTCATTCGCCTGTTT